ACTTGCTGCCAACAGGGCAGTACTCCAAACCAGCAGCCAAACCAGCAGCCAAACAAACCTTGGTTCATCATGCAGGCACAGGTAATTTGTGTGAGGAGGAATGTGCACTGACCTGGAAAAAATGCAGGTGAATAAACAGATGTGAACATGTGCCTTCCACAACTAATAGGAGTTGAGCTGCTCCCTAGCACATCCAAGATCAATGCTGGGATCCTCCCATCCCAGACAGAGGGGTCTTGCTCCTGATACAGAGGTCTCTTATCTCTCACTGTCACCCTGGCACCAAAGACACCCCACTTGCAGGGGCACTTGGAGAGAGGCAGCCTGGAGTGCTGGAGTGGTTTGACCTGGGACACCATTTGACCTGCTGTACCTGGCCCAGGATCTGCTGTGCCCTGGGTGCTGCTAAAACCATCCTCAGGTGTGAGCTGTCCCTCTGGGAATGCAGGGGTTCACTAGTACCTGTTTCAGCCATCCCTTGACAGTGGGTGTGTCAGGAGGGATGATTTAATGCAAGCAAAAAAAAAGTATTTCCCACTCTCCTGACTTTATTTCTCACCTTTGTCATTTTCCCTTTAGTTCCAATGGCAAAGTCAACGAAGCTGAAGGAGAACTCATGCACATGGATGTAAAGCAGCCAGCCAAGCTGGGCGTCCGCTTTAACTGGTGTAAGTGTGTGGTGGGGAGGCTCCCGCTGTCCACGGCCTCGGCTGTGCTGTGGTCTGAGCACCACGGTGGGCAGCTCGAAGCAGGCACTGCTGCCATGGCATCAGGGGTCAGAGACAGCAAACCAAGGGGTGAAGCTCCCCAGTGACTTCAGCGCAGCACAGTGAGGCAGCGGCAAAGGGTTAGGACAGACTTAAGGACCAGCAGACAGTGCTTTGGTGATACTGATACACCGTTTACTGCAACAGCACCCTCAGTAGTGGAGCTCTCCTCACCAGCTGATCTCAGAGCAAGAAAGATTAGCAGTATTACTGTCCCTCCAGGTCATTTCACAGATGGGATGGGCAGGACGGGAGGCAGGGGAGGCAGCCCCACAGCCACTGTAAGGGCCAGGAATAGGCTTGTTTCTCTGCACACAGCAGTATGGCTACTAGCCCATGCTACCTCTACTTATAAGCACCTTTCAACAACCATTAATATGTTTTTATTTGCTTTTTCCTTCCCTTGTCACTGTAACACTCGACAGGGCCTGCTGAGGTGCAGTGCATTTTATTCATGTTACACAGCACTTTCCTCTGTCTGCAGCAACACTTTAGAAAGTGAGCAGCAGTCTCCCCTTAAATCCCTTTTTATTCTGCTCCCTCACACCTTTTCCTTGGCTGTTTCACAGCCCTCCCTCACAGAGGGTTTATTTGCAGATAGGGGTGGAACAGGGATACTTGCAAAGGAGATACAGTGATTGTTCATGCACACAGCCAGACTTCATTCTGTGCTGCTACAGCATCATCCGTAGTCATTTCAGTTGCAGCATGTGTAGCCCCAACCACCTTCACCAAGTGTGAACCCCAGAGAACACTGCCTGGCATTCCTAAGGGCATCAGAAATAAATCCCAGGGCCCTTACACCTGCCTGCTGGACCCCTCTCTGCTTCTTGCCTGGTGGTTTGAAGCTGGAGTAGCTGTCCGTCATCAGAGCAGATGCTTTGGGCATAGTTGCCTGATGGAGAAGGGAATTTGGCTTAGATGGAATGGGCTGAGCTATACTGATTCCTACCACTGGGCTCCAGCTGGCTTCATGAGCCAGGGCTCCCCGTGGCAGTGGGTAGGGGTTTGTGCTCCTCAGATCACCAGTGTCAGAGCGTCAGCTCCCTCCCACCAACAAGAACCCTCACACATGTATGAGATGGGCTGGCTTTCAGTGGCCCAGGTGAGCTGTTCAGGTCGTAGTGTTAACCTTTCAGCAAGAACCCTCCTGGTCAGGGCTTTGTGGCTCTCTGGAGTTTGTCTGGGCGGAACAAGGAGTCCTGGTAGGCTTTTATAAATTATAGCTCCCGGCAATGACCACAATTATGTAGCAGCCAAAGTGGGAACAGGTCCAGAAGCTGTGGCTGTAGTGCTGCAGAGCCATCCGGAGTCAGTTTTGCATCACGCTCATGGCGCCCTTCTCTCTCCCAGTTATGCCTGCTGCCCCTTACTGGGTCATCTCCACCGACTATGAAAACTACTCACTGGTTTACTCCTGCACTAACATCCTCTGGCTCTTCCACATGGACTATGCCTGGATTTTATCAAGAGCTCCTGAAATGCACCCAGAAACCGTGGAGCACCTGAAGAGTGTTCTCCAGTCTTACAAGATTGACACCGACAAAATGATGCCCACTGATCAAGTCAACTGCCCTGATGAGATGTAACTCCCAGCACACAGTGATACAGCACCAGACCAGTGATGAACTTTGTTGCTTGCTTTATTATCCATTAGAATTTCTCTATGTAACTGAGAAATTTAATAACCTCTTTGCTAACTATAGTTTGCCAGCCCAGAGTTACTCTTTGCTATCATTCCCTCTATCACTCTTCCCCCTTTTTTTTTGTCTTGCTCTGACTTTTGCAATTGAGTCAATGCTAATAGGTGAAGAAAAGAAACCCTGAAGTGCAGACATGAACCTCTGCTGTTGCTGTGAGTCCTCCAGTGTATGGATGGGAAAGGGTATGAGATGTGATGTGCAAGTATTAGTCCTGGGGAAAAATCATTTATCGCACAGCTCCAGGTTTGTTTCCCATTTTTGTCTTGATGCTTTGGGCCTGCTAGGAATCTACAGTGTCTGTTGGCACTGCCTTAACAGCAGCAACATCCACATGTGGTGGGTTGGTCCTGCAGCCTGGGAACTGACGCTGTGGGTCTTGAAAGTTTCCCGGTGCAGGGCTGTAGGCATATGCTGCTGCTAAGTCAGCAGACCTTCTTGCTAGAAATCAGATCTGGCCCTTTGTATTTAAAGTCTAAAAATGTCCAGAAACTCATCATCACTCCATCCCCGGTGTCTATATGTGTCCTCTCTTGCCTCTAGGGAGTCTGCTCCTGCACTCCTGAGAGGTCAGCCCTGACTGCACTTGTAAGCAGGCAGAAAGAGATGGGTCTACTCCCTTGTTCTCCCTTCTAGAGGCTTTTCCCTGAACTTGGAGAGACAGCAGGCTCTGCCTGACACCCTGCTCACTGCTCTTCCAAGTGCCGAGTGCCCCCTGGCACTGCGTCTGCCCTGGCAGGTGTTCACCAGGCACCAGGACAACTCTGCTTGAATAGCATTCATGCAACTCATTAAAAATGAAACAAAAGTACCTGCTTCAGGGTTTTTGTACCTTACCACCTGCATGGCCTTTGTGAGCAGGCAGGGGGTCTGGGCTGACCTCCTCTGAGGTCATGGCACTGACAGAGCAGGAATGCAATGCAACATAACAACCATGGCTGAAGTGAAATGGTTTTCTTCAGGAGCTTGGAGCTCTTTCCAGCTCTCTGGGGTTGGATGTGTGGGCACCCCTCTATTGCCTGAGCCATGCCAGCAAACCTGTGTTGTGGCTTTGGTTGGCATTGACACTTATCTCCCGCTGCTTTTATTCACTTGAAGAAACAGCCATATGGATGTAGAATGTTGTAAATCTGCAGGAAACATTCTACATGCTGCTGAGCAGGGAGTCAGTATGCCACTAGTCTCACTATCTGGAGGAAGCTGAGATGGGAGGAGTCAGAAACAATTGCCATATTTAAGTCATTATCCCTTTAAACTTTCAAATCCTAATGCCACAGTTCCTGTGGCACAGAATCAAGCACTCTACCCTCATCCTTGGGCTGTAAGGGTGATGGACACAACAGGATTCCAACAGCTGCATGGTGGCTCCCAAGTGTGTCATATTTTGAGGGTAGATGTTTCATCAGCTCTCTATCTTCCTCACACGGATGGTGCTGCTGTAACCCTCATTCCCTGTGCTGCCACAGGCAGGGTGGCTGTGCAGACACTGAGCCCCAGGGGTGCAAACTTGCAGCCCCACTGGAGGGGCAGCCACTGCCCCTGGAAACCACTGGGAACTGGGATAGGCAGGTCCTGCTGAGAAACAGGAGTGTTTCACTCAGCAGCAGAACCTCGTGATGCCTGACCCCTCCGGACACCACACTGCCTCCCTCATTGTGCCACGGGAACTGTGACAAACTTGGGTTGCTCTGGCAAACACATTGTGCCAGGGTCATCTCCACACGGGCAGCACAGAGAGGGGCCCAGGGACACCATGGCACAGCTGCAACCTGTCCTGCCATGTGCCAGCAAACGTCCCCAGCACAAAGCACGTGTGGATGCCCTGCACATGCAAAACCCTTGTGTGTGTACAGGAGTGCCACCCATATAAGGCCCACATGCTGCCCAGCTCTGGGGATGTGCAGACACCCCGAGGGCAGCAGCATCTCCTGGTGTGCGGGCCCCGAGTGTGGGCCCCGACCCTGGGCACCCCTTGTGTCCTAATCAGTGCCTGTAAGTGTCAAAATGGGGGGTGCCAAGAAGAGGGAGCCGGGCTGTTCTTGGTGCTGCCAACCACTAGGACAAGAGGCAATGGGCAGAAAGTGATGCACAGGAAGTTCCACCTGAACATGAGGAAAAGTTTCTTTACTGTGCAAGTGACTGTGCACTGGAACAGATTGACCAGAAAGGTTGTGGAGTCTCCCTCACTGGAGAAATCTCAGAACTGTCTGGACACAATCCTGTACCATGGCATCTCTTCCAACCTGACTGATTCTGTGATTCAGTGATTCTGTGTCTGCGTGCCAGTGTGTCCCCATCCCCGTGTCCATGTGTCCCTGTGTCCCCGTGTCCCTGTGTGTGTCCCCATGTCCCCGTGTCCGCGCGCTCCCGCTCCCCGCGCGTGGGCGAGAGCCGCGCGCGCAGGGCGCCCCCTCATGGTCGCACAGGCGCCCTGCAGGCGGGGGAGGGGGCGCTGTCGGTCCTCCTGGCCGCCAGGGGGCGCGGAGCGCGGGGCTGAGGGGGCGGTGCTGGCGCGGGCCCGGCCAGGCCGGGGCGGTGGCGGCGGCTCCGAGCGGGGGGGAGCGGACGGTCGGCGCGGCCATGGAGGCGCCCTCCGTGCCCTCGGTACCGGCCGCCGCGGGCCGCGGGCCCATCAAAGGCATCCTGAAGAAGAGCAGCAGCAAGGCAGCGTCGGCGGGAGCGGGCCTCGGGGCACGGCGGTCCAACCCGGCCTGCGACGAGGACGAACACGGGTGAGGCCCCGGCGATGGGGGGCGGCAGCGGCTCCCTGCGGGGCCTCCCTTCATCCTTCCCTCCCTCCCTCCCGCAGTCCCGCTCATCCGGCTGCCCGCGGAGCGGGGTCAGCCGGGGTCGTCTCCAGACGGGGCTCTGCGCTGCCCGTGCCCGGTGAGGCCGGGGCTGTCGGCGGTCTGTCCGGTGCCCCCCGTGCGGTGGCGGCCTGGGGGCTCTGCTCCATCGGCAGTGGGAGCACCTACCGGGGCTGGAGCACCGCTGGGAGCGGAGGGATGCCGGGCTGTGCTCCTGGGCGGAGGCGGACGGCAGCTATGGCCGTGGCTCCTGCCAAGGAGAGGCACTTCCCTGCCCGTGTGGCAGCTCACAAGGGGCTTTACAGATGCTGCGAGGGTAGTTCGTAGTTTGGGAAGTAACGCTTTGCCATGTGAGATTTACTCTCAGCCTTCTTAAAGGCAGCTTGAGTAACCAGAAGCGTGTCCCTGAGGAGGGGACCTATCCTAGGCTGAAGTGTTACAAGATTAATAGTACGTAAAGATCTCACACTTGAGAATGTGCACAGGCCGTGTGGTTTGTGATCTGAGTGACATGAAAATCTTCGTTTAATTATAACATGCTGAGTTAGTCCAAATATGCAAGAAGTGGTCTTTAGCCGGCCAGCACCTATCCTTGAGCAAGAATTCCCGTACTTTTCCTGATGCACCCACCATGTGCCTCATAATGTTGCTCTGAGACTCTGTCACATTATGAGGAGCAAAGTTTGACCCGAACGCTGTTTATAAAATTACTTTGACAGTTTTCTTTATTTGGGACCTAACTCAGTATTACAAGGAAAGAAATAATGATAGAATAAAATGGAAATGCAGAGTTTTTCTTTTTTTTTTTTTTCTTTTCCCGTTCTTTAATTTTACTGTTATGTAGCACAGGGTGTTCAGTACCACGCTAGACATTAAATAGAGCTGTTGGTAGCCTCTGTTTAATTTTCTGCAGTTTCTTTTGTACTGTGTTGAAGAATGAGCAGGAGTTGGAGTATGAACTGATGAGTGTCTGCTGTATTGGTTATTGCACACAGTAATTTCTTGGGAAGCAGTTAGTGGGCAGCAGTCCAGCTTCTATTTCCTGTTTACCAATGTGAGTCAATAAAGTCAATTAGATTATTTCTGAAATTGCCTTGCAAGCTACAGGATATTGGCTAAACCTGGCAGGCTGCATTAGGAGATTTCCAGGAAAGATCAGTACAGTGTATTTAAAGCTGGCTTGTGTGCAGTTATTATTTTTGATTGGCAAGCATCATCATATCAGTGTTACTGTTTTTAAAAAGAATGGTAAGTAGTACAGCTGTGATTTTCTTTGCAGATTAAAAATTATTTAATAAATTCAGGTATCTTTTTTCTTCGGGTACATCTGTCAGCAGCCTCTCTGCTTATTTCCAGTATTTAAATTCAGGTCTGAATATCTTTTAAAAATAACTGCATATGAAAGAGCTCATTGTGTCAGCTGTCATCTTTTAAAGATCCACGTTCAGTAGAGATCTCATGTGCTTGCATCATTCTTGACCTTGTACTGCTGTCAGTGATGGTAACATTCTTTGGAAAACTTCCTTAATGAAAATATGATGCAACGTGGAAGCTTGAGAAATTGGGACACCCCTGGAACTGCATCCTAAGAGCTGAGATCGTGGTTTAGTCGTAGATATGTTCTTGGCATTTCTCATGGGCAGTACTTTTTGCCTTCAGGGCCCTGTAAGAGCCTGTGAGAGATGAGATCTGATATTTTATGAAGTAACAGTGTGAGAGTGTGTGTGCCAAGCACCTGTGCTGGAAGAGATGAGCCTGCTATGGTAGGAGCAAGGAATGAGGTGTTCCTTGAGTAATACTGCTGCTGAGACTTCTTGCCAGTCAGGGTGTGGTGTCAAATGAAATTATTGTGTATTTTTAAAGATGTGAGAAAATACAAATGAGCACTTCTGAGTTTTTGCAAATCTGATTTTCCTAAGGAAGATTAGATTTCTTGTTTCCATTTCTGAAGGGGTGTCAGGAGGCATTTCCCTGTCATGGTCCTGAGCTCTGTCATTAGTGTTACACTGTGCAGACATGCCTAAGCATGCAGAATTGGAGACAAACAAGGGAGGTATGGGTTTTTAGAGCACTTAGTCACTCTCCTGTGATGGCTCTTTACATGCAGGGGAGAAATGGCATGTTTGTCTCTTTGCTACTAATGATTTCTTTTTTTCCTAGCTGAACTTTAAGTTGTGCTTTGGGAGGTGTTCTACAGCCAAGGCTTTTATTGGAATCTGAGTTTAAAGAAATGATTGTGAAAAACGAAACCACTAAAAACTTCTTCACTCTTTTATTTGTGAGTCACTGCCTAGCTTGCTGTAGGATGTCTGATTTCGAAGCAGTGAATGCAAAGGGATTGTTCCAAGATTACCAATGCTGGTGTTGGGTATTGAGTTGTGAGCCCAGGCGATAAACCTTGATGGACTCTAGGCAAATGAACACAAAGCCTGTGCTGGGAGTTGCTCCCATCTGTCATATTTCCTCCTCAGCTGAGCTCTGGCTGTTTACAGGGGCTTGTGTACCCTTGGCCAACTGCCATGGCTCATAAAAACCCTCGCTGTGCAACCGAGTGATCATCTTATGTTAGTGAACTTCAGGTGATTAACTGGTGATTTTTGGACTCCTAAATAGAAAAGTTGGAATAACTGGCATTCCTAGACCAGAGCTGCTGCTTTGTCATCAGGAAGCTCATGACTCCCCGCCCTGCCAGAGCCACGATCAGGCTCACGTGTTGTCCGCTTAGGCTGCACAAATGATTAAATAGACCTGAAGCCTCAAACACGAGAGCTTGGCATTGGTTACTGTATGCTGAGGGGATTAAGATCACTCAATTTGTATTCATTTCTGTAGTGTAAGTCTGTGGCATGTGTGATTCAGCATCAGCCCCCACATCTATTTTTTTCTCTTCAGTTTTTTTCCTCCCACACTATATTATGTAGTGTTCCCATAAATGTAAAACTTTAGTTTGTGCTTGGAATTTTTCTTTATCAGTTTCTGTTTTACAGAGAGCATTCTGCTCAAGAGTATTTGAGTTACTGAGATTGAATGTATTTTCCAAGTTTGTTATTGGAACAGTCTGTGTTTAAACAAGTAGCTCAGTGGAAGTCTTCCAGCCAACAGTCCCTCTCCCCCCCAGAAAAACCAACCACCCCAAACCAAACAAAAACCTCTACAAAACCCATGAAGTCCTGTATCATATGCTTCCTTAACTAATCATTTGCAACAGGAATACGTTAATTCATAAAGTAATACTAAATTTTAAAATTATTTTACAGGTCTAAAGTTAGATTTTTGACTTAAGCTAAGGGAAAGACTATACGAAGCTTGCACTAACCTTTTTAGAGAAAATATGGAACATGGTAGGTTTTGTTCATTTAACATTTTTTGTGGCTTTTAGATCAGTGGAGGGATGGCTCTTCCTCTGGCCACGAGACAGTTGCTTTCCTTGTGGCTTACATGTTTTGTCAGTGTGGGTGAGCTTTTGTTTCTTCAAATACACATAAAAGGGTATGTTTTCTGGTTGACTGAGGAAATTCTAAATAATATAACATCACTGGTGCCTGTCTGTGTGAAATGTGAAACTCCCTCGGCTTAATTACAGCAGTGAATCAGTTGGCTTATGATTCCAATTTAGAATGACAAAAGCAGTATTAATAACCAGCTTGTTCTGTGCTGCTTATTTCACTGCAGGGGGGTTTGCTGGTTGGTATCGTTTATGTAACAGGTTTGCTAATAATCATAGCAACTGCCTGAGCAGAGGTGAGCTGGAAGGTTCTGTTGAGTTCTGTTGAGGTCTTGCGGGGTGTAATAAGAGGAAGAATGCTTTGTTACAAGTTACTGTAAAATCCAGCAATTCACGAGACAGTGATTGAACAAGACCAGTAGTCTCTGGGTTGTGTGACCAAGAATACATGTATAGATCACTGAGTTTATCTGGCTATTGTGACTTGTTAGGGAAATTAAATTGCACTGATAATTTGTCATGGCATAAGTATTTATAGAACAGTATTTAATAGTCATTCTTTGAACATGTTTGTGCGTCATAACAATATTCTTTGTGCTTTCGATGTAGTAGAGATCAAAAGATGTTTTAAACATTCTTTCTGTGGTCAAATAGAACTAAATGTTTTTAGAAACTAAGAAAATTTAACTGTTTTCTTATTTCAGTAAAAAATCCCAGAAGTGGGATGAAATGAACATTATAGCTACATACCACCCTGCAGGCAAAGATTATGGCTTGATGAAAATAGATGAACCAAGTACTCCTTATCACAGGTATGCTTGCTAAACTCCTGAATGCAGCCAGGTGACATCACAGTTTTACAGCAAAATTTACTTTGTGGGTGATGTAATATTTATTATGGTTGATTATCTGTGATTGTGGATTGTGTAGGCCTACTGGATGTATGCAATGTATTCAGATTTACAAAGCTGCTAAGTAAGGCTTATAGCTATTGAGGAGAACTATCGAAAAGGGCAAAGTCAATTTTAGAATGTTTATGTCTAGAGGCTTTAGGCTTTGAATGGAATAAGTCTGACTTGTATTGATTTTATTTTTTTCAGTATTAGAATCTAATGTTGTCATATCAATATTTAAAGAAGATTTGAAAAGCTTTTAAAGTACTAAAGGAGTCTTTTAATTGAAGATTTTGACTGTTTTCTCAGCAAACTTTAAGCAGCAAATTACTAATAAAGGCTACTTTTTGTTTACTCTCCAAGCATGGTAGGAGAAGATGATGAGGATCCAGTGAGTGATTCAGAAGCAAATGAGCCCTTAAAAGCAGATGTGCTGAGTAAAAAGTAAGTATTGTCATTAAAAAAATTGGCTAAATGTTATGATAATCTGCTCTTTCCTGGGGTAGATTTTCTGTATGGAAAGCTGTTGCTGGTTTCTCTAGAAGTTTCATTTTTGCTGTTGTCAAATTAACTGGATTTCAGTGTTTGATGGTGCCACTGGTAATATTGCAGGTTGTTACTACATGTAAATATGCAAAAATAATGAAGAAAGCTGTTTGTATGAGTGTTCTGAAATGTCATGTATTTGACATAGTGAAAAACTTGCTGTTTCAGCATTTTGTATTGCATTATTTATGTAGACTGGCAGCTGCAGCTGAAGGTAAAGGACCCAAGATCATAGCAAGGCAAGAGGAAAGTAGTGAGGAGGAGGAAGAGGATGAAGAATTAACACCTGAGGAACGAGGTAGGCATAAGTTGTTTCCTTTGTTTTGCTTTGTTTTTTTTCCTACAAATAGTTTCAGATTTTCAGTAAGAAATGTTTGGGAAGAAAAAGCCCTGTCAGAAAAATTTGTGATTTGAAAATGAAGATAAATAGTCTTCGAACAAATATGCTGTTTGTTTCTGATCAGGACTGTTTGGTTTGGGATCTACATATAAACAGGAATTTGCTGTTGCTGGATGCCTCCTTGTATACAAGCTTCAGGTGTGGGAATTCCTGCTGAAAAAATCTAGACTCCTCAATTAAGTTCTTCTGGTTTGGGGGTGAGGCAGTAGTTCTTAATATGGACATATTTCAGGTAGGCTTAATTCAACGAGTACCACTGCAATTAAGATGCTACTAATTGCTTGCAAACATACAGATGCTATTTCTGTTGTTTTCAAAGCAACTGGTAGGTGTATCCAGTAGGAAATCTGTAGTTATTCCAAAGCAAATAGCACCTTTAATAGAGATGCTGTTTTGTGTTAACTTGGACTGGAGTGTTTTGAGGGAACAGTCAAACAATACTTCTGAGGTTTCAGTCTTGCATTATCTAGCTGGTGCTTCTGAGATTTCCTGGTCCAACTTTAGCATGTAACCCTGCTATTCTGAAGTAAGAAAAAAACCCAGCAGAGTGTTTGGGCTGCCAATAAGCAAAGTTTACTTTTATTATAATGCATTACTGCTAGACCTGCTAATGTTTAGTATATGGAGCAGAGTTAGGCTTCAGGCTGTGGGGAAAGTGGAAAATATTTTCTTCAACATGTGGTAAATACATCTCTCTTAACTGACCTTTGGTAGCTAGCCAGGAGTCAGGCCACATCTGCACAAGTTCATCTTCTGTCCCACTAGTATGTCTCAGTTTTTCCCTAAGTTTACTTAGAAACAAGGCTTGTGAAACTCTTGAATTTTGTGTGCCACTACCAGATGCTTCTCTTGGTTCAGACTTGCTCTTAGTTGCAAACAGGTTCTTTTAAAAGTGCTTCAGCCACTACAGTCCATCCGTCAATTACTATCCTTTTTGTGAGTCAGATTCATTTAAAAGAACACTCCACTGCTTGAAGAAAATAATTTTAGTTCAGTGATTGATAAAATAATCAATGGATTTTCAAGGTAGGAACAAATTTGATCTAGGAAGCAATGAGTGCCTCTTCGAAAAAGAAATAAATTGATTTTTGTTTTTAAGGGAAGAAATAAATATTTGCATTTGTTTGTCCACAGAGAAAAAGAAACAGTTTGAAATGAAGAGGAAAATGCACTACAATGAAGGAAGAAACATCAAACTGGCAAGACAGCTCATTGCAAAAGAACTATATGGTGAGGAAGAGGATGATGATGAGGATGAAGAGATGTCCGATGCTGCAGATGTGGAAACAATGAGTACAGAAGCTACTGTACATGGTGAGCTACTGATTAATTAAAAAGCACGTGTAAGTACTGGTGTCCCTTTGAGCTGTTGGGAGACAGTGAGCAATGGTGCACACTGTCTTGAGAGGTAGATTTGTAGCATGGAACACAAACCACCAGTGTTGATAAATAGCATGTAGGCTTTTGTTTGTTGTGACACAACAGAAAAGCAAACATCTCTGCTTCCTACTGTTTCCCCAACATAACTGACTTTGGGCAGTGAAGTTGCCAGCATCCTTTTTAAGGGAAAAGCTGTCTTGTACCCAGCATTAAAAGCTATGGCCACATAGAAGAGCCTGGCTTTTTGTTGTGGATCAGTTCCCATTCTGCTCCCAATCCATTCTAGAGCCAGCAATGGGAAACAACCATAAATGTTTCCTCTGAATTGAGCGGACTGTATCTTAAATTTTTAAGGAAGAAAACTCTAATATAAAACTGCTGTTAGGCCTCCAGTACAGACTTGTCCTTGAGCGGTAATGTTTATTTCTATAGTAGGGGATAAGACTCAACTTTGCTTTTAGTGAAACTACTGGAAGAAAGTCTGGGACTTTTAGATTAAAGCTGTTTGTGGAACCTGCTTCAGGGCTGTCTCTTCAGAGGAAACGTTTAAAACTATAGAGGCTGACATCTTTTTCATCTTTAAGCTGCTCTCTGGGTGAAAAGGGTAAACCGTATAACAAAAGTCTTAGATTTTTGTGGTGGTCTTCTGGTGAATAATTAGTTCACTTCTCACATATGTGTGTAACAGCACTTTGAACAAGTTTTTGACATTAAAAAAACAGATGTCTGTTCCTGTTGGGTTGTGAAGTCTGTAAGCCTCATTCATCTGTGCGTGGCAAAGCTGTGAGATGTTAGCAGACTTGGGAAGATGCTGCATGGGTTTAACTTGGTTCACATTGCTTTTCACAACCATGTGAACTAGGACCTCTTCTAAAATTAATTAAAATTCCACGCAATAAAAAGATGATTTGCAAAGCTCCGTGTTGAAATTCTGTGGATCGTACATTTTAGTCCCGTCATTTATTACAGGGGGACTAATGCCTTCACAATTGCTCTGAAAGGGTCATTTGGTTCACATCTGAGACCCATTACCGGACTGACTTAATCCAGTAATTTAACATAGGCCTTATAATGGCTAATTACTAGAACTTCACTCTCCAGGGGAAAGGAGGGCTCCAATAGGCAACTGTATGACCTTTCTTCATGGCTTGAAGCTGCCATCTCTCTGCACTCTGCTGTAAAACAGAGGCAACTCCGCTCCCCAGCTGCATTCACCACTGGAAAGAAGGCAGACCTTTGCAGCATTTTTCCATTCCACCTTCCTCATAACCAGCTTCAGAGCCACAACTGGTAATTATCAATTTTAGACTGCTCACAGTTTATAAATTGTCTGCCAGTTTATCAACCCATGAACTAACTGATTCGCCTCCACACCATAGCATATAGAAATACTTTCCATTAACCTGATTTAGTTCTCAATTCTTCATTTTTCTATCATTCTGCTTAAACCTTGATGTTTCATTATCTCCTAGTCTCTGTATCAGCTCTCACAGCTTTTGGTCTTTGTCCTTGGATCAGTTCTTCTGAGGTTCAGTACTGGTCCTTCTTCTGTAGCAGCTGGTGAATTGAATATCCTCAGACATTCCTATGTCGAGATGATAAATGTTCAGCAATATAGCTGTGTTAATGTCAGAGTTTTACCTGAATAACTTTTGAGATTACATCTATTTCTCTCTCATCTGTATTTTGAGAGCACAGAAGAATTTCCTTATTCATAAATGTCAATTAGGGCTATGGAACATTTCTCAAATAGATGGTTTTAACACTTGCTACTTGGGTTTTTTGTTCATCTCTGCTTTTGGTCGTGCTGTGCTTTTGGTCGTGCTGTGCTTTTGGTCATATTAAGCACTTGAGTATTTAAAACAGTATTTCAATTTGATTGTTTCCTTTGTGGAAGTAGATCAAAACACTATTAATATTCATGTTCCTGAGATTCCTTTGTTAGTACTCTAAGAGTATGGAAAGATTATTCACCTGGATAACTTTCAAGAAGCTCTTTGACTTTGAATTGTGTTTTAAAGTGCTTTTGTATAGAGCAGGAAAGGAGGGGTTGAGTGATGCAGGAGCTGATTTTTGCAATGGCTTGTTTTGGCTTCACTGACTAACAGCCCTGACACTTGCTTTTAACTGCAAAGGAAATGTCTTGGGTTTTCTTGTGTTGTACTGTAGCTACATTTTGATAAATCCTTCCATTTGACTTGAGTTCTTGGGAAGTTGTGGAAATCATGAATTGATGTGGCTACCACTCACCGATTATGCCTGTCAGTCTATGTGAGTGGGAACTGGAATGCAGTGTCTTTTTATTCCAATGCAATAACGTGACTTCTCTAGTACTGATGATTATTGCAGGTAAAGATGTGACATAAAAGATATTTCCAAGTGATCTGTTGTGACTTGAGGGCTCCACTGACTCCTGGGTTGTCTTTTAGGCAATTTGAGATCCTCTTCTCACTCTGAAGGTTTTTTTATCTGTGAAAATCCCTTAAAAGTTCTGTTCTTCTCTGACCTGATGTTCTTTTTTACCCTCTAATCCTTTCTGGTTTGTATTTGAGTAAAACTAACAGTACTCTTCTAATCTCCGTACTCCCCTTTTGAAGAAGGGGCTAAAGTCTTAAGCAGATTTTTAAGAAGGCTCCTGTCAGACATCCCCAGGTTCGCTAATCCAAGTTGCATTTCTTGGTTACAGACTGAGATTTCTTGCTGATCGAAATGAAGATGGCCAGTCCAGCCAGTGACGGTGAGAACTCTTTGTGTATTTTTGCCCATCTCCATTGTGGCTGCTGAGTGTTCTAAATGGATGGGTCATTCCTTGCTTGCCTCAAGTAGCTGTACCTTATGCCATGCATATGGATTCTAGCAGCCAAGCTTTTTTGTGGAAAAGCAAGCTGAAGTCGCAATAGACTGTGCATGGCATGGGGATTGGAACTAGATGACCTTTAATGTTCCTTCCAACCCAAACCATTCTGTGATTCTGTGTTTGCTTGCTTCAGCTTTTCAGCTTCTCTGGTTACTCCCTGTTTATGACTCCATGAACAACATAAATAGACTTTGCCAGGAGAAGTGACCTTTGTTCCTCTCCATAAAAACTTTTCCTTTAGAAATTCTCTTTAAAATCACTGAAGGGAATTCTCCTGATGTAGATAAATTTAAGCATGATGTTTTCCATGCAGACCTGTCTTTACTTCTGCTACACAAAAGTATCAGGTAGAGGGTGTTGTCTTTTGCAGTTCAATTGACAAGCAGTAAGACTCTTGTTCTCTCTCTCTGGTTCATTTAGCTGTGCTAATCCTGCTCAAAGAGTGCCCAACAGCTGAGCTGTCACTGACAGGGTGTGCCCTTTGGGCTTTGGTAGATACAGAATATGCTGTGTTTTCTTTACCAGGGCAAGCATCGCCCTAAAGATGATTTAAGTGAGAAGGTTGGGAGCACACAGCAGTTGGTTCTGCTGGTTAACTATGCTGTTTGCTTGTTAAACTGCACATTACCAAACCTAACTCATGCCCAAGCTTAACTGGCCTTTTAAAAAGATTATTATCATTTTGATGTGGTATTCTTTAATCTTTCTCTTCTGCCACTAATTTTTAGGCACATACATATATATATAGAAAGAGAGTGGGCTTTTTTGTATAAAAAACACTAATAAGGACTTTTCTCCAATTTATTGCTGTGCTTTGGTTCAAATCCATGAGTTAACAACTTCCTGAAAACACAACAGACTGTGCTCCTTCATGTATAAAGTGTGTGGGGGGGGGGTAGTTCAAGTGTTTCATCGAATTGAAATTTGACCTGGAAAGTACTGTGTTTGCTCATGTGGAAGGAACTTCATATGTTAGTTCTTAACTCCTGGGTTAAATCCTCCCAGTTCCAGGGGTGGTGCTCGGTGTGCTGAACAGTGGTGTTTGCCACCTTTTCAAAGCATGAGGGTAAAATAACTACTTTAAGTTTCTGCACTCTTAGACTAAAAGCTTATACATTGCTAAGATGGGTTGGCAAACATAACCTTTAGAGAAGCAAAGATGATTTCAGGATGGTATTTGTGTGTGTTTTGAAAATATTCAATGAGTGTGAAGAATTATCTGGGTTTTTTTGTAATCTTTCTTTCACAGCACATGTTACTCATGACCAGCTGGAAAGTAGAGCACACAGCATAGAAGAAATCTGTCCAGAACTGTAACTGCTTGTCAAAGACACAAATATAAACATCGCTTCATGTTTTTTGCAATTAAGGCTCTTAAATGTTGAGAAGCATATCAGTTACAATGTTGTATTGCCAAGAATGTTAATTTTAGACTTGTCCATTAGGCAGAAAACACTGTCTAATTGATTTATTCTTGTGCCTAGTATTTTATGAAGAATACTGCTTCATAATCTGTTCAACCAGAATGGCATTCCCTGTATGTATAACGCTGATTATCTTGCGTGATGTACTGTTACTCTTGCTTTGAAACGCTCACTATCTTTTGGTTTTTCACTATTTATTTGAGAGTGTTCTAGATGTGGTGTCTCTTAACGAAAGGTTTGGGATTCAAGAGCCAAACGGTATAGCATAATATCAGATTGACATGTGAGCTATTTATCAGATGTGTTAAGCAATTTAAAAAGGGATTATTTAAGTCCTACAACCTTTTTGTAAAGTGTTGACCTGTTAATCTAGATTTCATTATGTTACTACCTGCACTTTCCCAGTCTTTAGAACAAGAGCTGTATTATTTCTTAAGAGCGGTGTTTGGAATTCGTTGTTAGTTTCTGACTAAAGCAGTACTAACATCTGGCGGAGGGAATGTTTTGACACTGGAAACAGCTGACTTGATCTTTGCATTTCACTGTCATTCTCTCTTCCATCGGGACTGGCTGTTTTGTGGAGCTGTCTTTGGCTTATTGTGAGAACATGGAAGTTTCCTCCAGCTTTTCTCTTAAAACCACATCCATTGTCACTCTTCTGGCTCGTTTCAGACACTTGGTTCTTTCCAGTTGCATGAACAGTGCTTGTGCTACTAGCACCTGAGGAAAAACGCCCAGCCACAAGGAAATCCACATCAGGACTGTGAAGATGTGCTGAGCTTAGGCTCTGGCTGTTCTTTATTAAAGATAACTGCTGTTGATCTACTCATTTGGGGTTGGCAACCCCCATACTGAAAACCACTGGTTTGTATCTTCCTATGTCCACTGCAACTTACAGCAACTGCTTTTATAAATGAAGGCTTTTTGGAAGACTAGAAGGGAAACTGCCTAATTCAAATACTTTGTTTACAATGTGGTTATATAGCCCCCATAAAGAGGGATTCTGCACCTCCAAATTGCTGTAAGCAACTTCCCACTGGGTGAAATTTGACTGGTGAATGTTCCGGTATTCAGGGTAGTTCCTGGGGTTTATTATACAAACGAAGTAATACACTTAAGCTTTAGCTTGGTTATGGAATACAGTGTATATCTTAATTTTGATCTGAATTTGATATGTTGCAAAAATCCATATAGTTATATGGATCTATTTTAAAATGTCTTTTTCTCCACTGTATATGTGAAGTTTGAATAAAGGAATGAAAGTTATTTTACAGTTATATGCATTCTCAGGTGTGAGCTTTCCTGAAGTCCCAGAGAGATTGAGAGTGAATAAGGTGATAGGATGCTGTCCTTTGGAAGATTTATACAGGAATAATTCATTAGAATGGATGCATTGCCAAAGATACCTGTGAGTTGTGCTAACTGGGTGTTGTAGTGTGCCTTTCCCAACTATCTCCTCTCCTTAGTAGGTAACGGGGTAGTCAGTTGTGGGTTATTTAATCTTCTAAGGTCCTGAATCAGGGTTAATAGCATCTTTTCACAAGAAAGAGTTGAACTCTTGATTCAGGCCAGTGTGGTGATGTAATTTTTCAAGATAGATAATGCTATTTCTTGTATCAAACACGGTCACTTCTATAGAATAAACAGGGGCTAAGAGCAAGCATTCAGATAATTCTGACTCCTCAAGTAATTTTCTGTAGCTTGAAATTTGGCTCATAAGAATAGGATTTCAAAACTTTTAAGTTTGCACCCTTTCCGTACCAGTTTGCAGTGTTGAGAGTGTTGTCCTGTCTGCACTGAGCTGTGTTTCAGACCATGCAGCCGCTGGCCTGGCCCGGCCCTGCTGGGCACTGAGGTCCTCCTGAGAGCGCAGCAGCACTCGGCAAAGTCACATCGCTTTCAGAGGGGTGGGTGTGGGTGGGTCAAGGGGTGACCAATGTGTGTGGGTAACACAGATCTGCTTTGTGAGGCTGTACAACAGATTACCTGTACTTGGTAATAATTACACTTGGGTACTTTGTACCTGCAGTTAAGGTAAAATCCAGCAGCAGCAGCTCCTACCCAAGCTAATGTCCTGCCCTCTTTACCCCCCCACCGCTTGCCTTCTATGTCCAAGACCATTTTGGTGCTTAGTGGGGCTTCTCTGTACCCTACCGGGTCTATAAAGCATTTTGTTTAACAAACAAACAAACTTTGGTAACTTCCAATAAAGACCTTTCCTGTGTGTAGCTTTGCGGGAGGTACAATACATAAACGCATGAAGAGGGTTTTAAATGAACCTCAGAATGCATTGTAGGCCCTTTCATCAGTCACATGATTTTGAGCTGAGTGATTTCCCTTCTTGCATGCCACCAACCCCTAAGTTCTAGTTTGATGCCATTTTGAAACTTGTTTTAGTTTGGGGTTTTTTAAAGGCTTTGTTCTCTTCATTATCCTTGGTGCTGGTAAAAATTCCGTTCTGGTGCTTCATCTTCCTCATCAGGAGTGCAAACCAATGTCCCTGACACTGCTTTTAACTGAAAGGCAGATTTACTTTGTTTTCTCCAGGCTAACACCTTCATGCATTTTAAAAGCTAAACCAGGCAAGTTTTACTTTGCAGTAGTTACAGATACTCTATATAGCTTTTTTTCCAAAGGGGTGTCTGGTTTCCCCCTACTTGGGAAATACCAGTTATAGTTCCCTGCTGAAGGGACAAGAGAAGAAATGCCTTTTCTCTTTTTACATTGATGGTGACTTAGCTTGCAGGCTCATCTTAATCTTTAGATGCATATGGTAAAGGCTCAGTTGTTCAGTACAGAGTAGTGTAAAGAAGAAACAAAAGATACATAGCCCTTACTAATGTGGACAGTGAGCTCCACAGCATCATAATTGTGAAGCTTCTTGCACAGGTTTGAGTCCTCAAGCTGCATCCTGTTTAGAGAGAGCATTTTCAATATGCTTCCAATAGGAAGATCACTTGCAAATAAGAGCCTTAACTTTGTCTATAATTTTTTTTTTCTGTTCTTAAAGTTTCTTTCACACCAAGTTGTACACAGTTCATGGAAACTGCAGATATTTTTTCCACAGCTCACTCTCTCATGTTAAAGTTGTAAATCTTACCAGAACTTTTGTTTCTGTAATATGTTTTTTTGTGGTGTTAATTATGATGCCACCTCACAAATGTAATTATTCTATTGGAAACCAGTGTTAAGTGTCACAACATAAATAAAACCATTGTCTTCATTACTACCTTATGGCACTAATACTAATCTATTGGTTTTGCGTCTTGGAGCTCTTCAGAAGAAACCAACAGCTACTGTGGAGTTTTCAGGTTTGTGTTCACAATATTGCAATTTCCTCGTGACTGCAAGTGAGGATGTACTCTTTAGTTTAACTTTCATATAAATCAAGTTTGTACACATTTTCAGATTTGTTGGTTTACCTAGACCTCAGGGTAGATCTGGTAACCTGAATCACAAATTTAAGACAGCAATACCAAAGCAAAGGTTGCATTTTTCAGGGTGGTTTTTCTTGTGTGTTGTAGGATTTAGTCACGACTGGTCTGTCTCTTCATGGTCAGTGTTGAGTAATCACTCACTAGCACTGAGTAATGGAAAATGACTAACACCAACTACTCCTTAGGAAGTAAAACTATTCCCAGGAAAAGAGCTGGGCTCTTTTCAATTGCATACTTAGTTGAAAAGTGGATTTCACAACATCAGTGCAGCCTCAGTGATACAAATATTTCTTAACATGCTGCTTTTTCTCAGTGGGTGTGACTTGACTCCTTAACCAAACTACTGCTAGTTTGTCTACTTTTGGTGAGGGACAGCTCACAAAAACATGCAGCTGTTACATTGGTGTAACCTGGAGTTTGGTTCTGACATTTCACCAGTCTTAGGGAAAAACCCTGACACACTAAACCGCAATTGAATGAACCACAAAGTGTCCCTTTGCTTCTGTGAAAGGACATCTTAACTGGGGGTAGGAACAGTAAAGGTACTGCAGGCATTCAGCTTCTTGGAAACAAAAGAAGTCTTATGTCCCACTACATCCTTCCATGCTGACTGTTTCTCCTTGTGACACCGAAGGGAAGTCAGGGGCGAGAGAATGGGGAGAAAAGACAAAAAGGAAGGTGAAATGTGGTGCGGGTGCTGGGGCAATGGAAGGTTTGAGGGCTGCAGGGGATAAGTGGGCTCACTGGAAGCAAGTATGGCAGCTCCTCAGACTCCTGGAGGAGCCAAGTGTGAACATCATCACTGCACATCAGCTTCCCAGCACAGCGCCCTTGTGCCTGCAGGATGTGTGACTGCTTCAGCTGTGCCAGGTCTAACCTGAACAGTAAGTCGTACTCGTCTGTCACTCCTTTGGGGATGAGCAGCAGGGCTGGCGCTCCTTTGCTTGTCAGTTTTACATCTGGGAAAAGTAAGCAGTGCCAAACTGGCTAAAGATCTCTGCATTTTCTTAAGGGATCAGAAATCTACAACGTTTCTGCAGTCCTTCACTGAAAACTGCGAGAGGGCCGATAGGATCCTTTTCACTCTGTGGTACGGCCCTTCAAAGAGTATTCTCGGACAAACCCGAACACACACACTTGATAGTCTTTGACAGGAACACCTGCGGTCTGCGTTTCTCCTTCAAAGACACCTTTGAGTCTCCCCCGGGTAACATAACTCCGCAGTGATTACCACAACGTAGAAGCGAATCACGCCGGAGAGCACCGAGAGCTGGGGCTTCACGGTGACACCCTCAGCAGGGACTGGCCCTTGTCTGAACCCCTGGTGCGAGTCCGTGTGTGCCGGTCCGTGCGCTCTCCACCTCAGTGCCCGCCCCGCCCTGCCGCGGCACCGCGGGCCCTGCTCGCCCCGGGCATCACCTCCTCAGACGGGCGCCAGGCCGGGCCTTCCGGCACCGGTGTCGCTCCCCAGGAAAGGGGTTCCCCTGTTCAATGAGGAGCTTTAATGTAACAAATCCCGCAGACACAAACCGAGCATGGCCCATCCCACCCCGCAGCTCCGGCCGTTCCCGAGGCCTCTCTTCCGGGCGGCCGCGGCCATGCAGCCTGCCATTGGCGCGAAAGGTCGGCGGTCGCGCTCCCCTTGGCGGGGCCAGCTGTCACTCTTCGCAACCCGATCCCCGCGGGGCCGGCAGTTGGCTGCCTCCTCCAGGCGGCCGCGCTGATTGGGCGCTCTTCCCGTTGTGCCAGCCTCTCCCGCCTTCCGATTGGCCAGCGCGCCCCCGCCCCGGCGGGTGGTCCCTGCTGGCTGCCCGGGGCGTCAGTCGCGGCGGGGCGGGGGCGTTGCTCGGAGCTCTGTGTCCGCCCCACCTCGGCACCGCCCCCGCCCTGAGCCCCAGCCCGGCCTTGCCTCGCCCCGGGTTCGCCGCGATACCTTCGCCAGCAGCCGCAGAAGCGGAGGCAGCGGCGCCCCGGCAGCATGAAGGTGACCGTGGACTTCGAGGAGTGCCTGAAGGACTCACCGCGCTTCAGGTGCCGCCGGGAAGGGGTCGCGTCGGGGTCGTGCCGGGGGACAGGAAGAGGGGCCGGGTGTGCGCGGGGCGGGCGGGGGCTGCCCGGGCGGGGGCCGTGGGGGCCTTGGGGGGACAGGTGTGGGCAACCGGCTCCGGGCAGAGCGGCAGGCGGGGCTGTGGTGGGTCCTGCCGGGGTGTGGGGGGCTCTGAGGAGGAGAGGGACTCTGAGGAGGAGAGGGACTCTGAGGAGGAGAGGGACTCTGAGGAGGAGAGGGACTCTGAGGAGGAGAGGGATTCTGAGGAGGAGAGGGACTCTGAGGAGGAGAGGGACGAGGGAAGTGCGAGGGAAGGGGGCAGCATGTTGTGGTAGGTGGGACTGGGTGGGCAAGGTGCGGGTCTGGGGAGGTGGCAGAGTGCGCGGTGATCGCTGCTGGGGTCACCCCCTCTGATGAGATGGGTGAGGGGTGCCAAGCAGCTGGTGCTCGTCATCCACAGCAATGCCAGCTCAGGCTCGGGAGCGTGGACTCTTGGTTGTCCATCTCCGGTTCTCCAGAGCTGTGCTCGTGCTTCAGTTCCCCGTGTCTCCTGCTGCACAGTCCGTACTCGGTGCGCCCACTGTTGGGGTGCCAGTACCAAACAAACTCATATAATCTCACTTCCTGTTGTCACACCAAGGCACGGACTCTTTTGTTTTTTTCCCCACTACAGTGACCAGTTGTCTGTCACTGCTATAGGGTTACTTCTGCTTATGTCGGGCAGCGTTCCCCTTCATTTTTCCTTATGTTTTTATCCACTCTGTCTCTGTATATTTCACACTATTGTATCTACTCAACATAGTTGTGCCTCTTTATGGAGTGTGTGGCTGGTCTTTGCCTCCATAAACCACCCCCCCCCCGCTTGTTGGTGGAGACACAAACAGCTCCATGACGTGATGTGTCACTGCTGTGCCCCTCCTGTCCCATGCTTAGCCCATGTTTAGAGTGCCTGTGGCTCTGTGGTTGACACAGCCTGGATGAGCTCTGCCTGTTGCAGGAAATACACCTGTCTTTCCTTTGCTCTCTGGCTGTGTGTTCACGCCTCCTTTTTGTATTAGCTTTATCAATTGTGTGGTTCTGGGATGTGGAGGAAGTTGGAGAAGAAGGGTTGAATGGTTTAGGCTTGGCAGAAGTTGGAGTTCCTGTTCTTCCCTCCTTTGTTCCTGTCACTGCAGCTAGCTGGTTGCTGGCTGCTTCTGCCACGGCTTTTTTGGTGACTGTGACATGTATTGTTGGATCCTTCCATGAGCTGGGTGCCCTGGCAAAAGAGACTGGAAGTTTCTCTGCCAGGTTAGTGCATTAAGTCAGCGCTGCAAGGGGTGTGAAACCTGCTAGAGCTTATGGGGAGGAGAGAGAGGAAACTTCACTACCAGAAGCAAGGCTAGAGGAAGGCAGCGGGGAGTGAGACCTCCCCTATGGTGACAGGGAGCTCAGCTGCTCTACAAAACTTTGCCCTGAGTTGGACATGCTTGCTAGTGTGTGTACTGTCTGACACAACTGTATTTAATCTGTCCATCCTGTCTGGTGACAATGTAGTTGTAGATTGACTTAATTTAACCACAGAACTAATTGCATTTTGTTAGTTACTGATACTTGCTAAAGTATTAAATACACTAGAGAAAGCAATAAATTGTGACTAAAATTTGTGAGCAGAAGTGTGCTGCTGTTTATTCAAGGTAAGACAGACAAGTTCATTTGAACTCACTTTGTATCATTCTCCTTTTGCCCCTCTTGATTCCTTTCCTTCAGTGAAAGAAATTAGAGTAAACTCTTTGTGGTCTTTCCCTCTGTCTCTGATACTACTACCCTTGAAGAAACTGCAGAAAACCTTGTGGTGCCATCACTTGGTACCAGCAAAACATTCTTCCAGCCTTTAACTGATAGGAAGTGGTTAAAATCGTGAAGCAAAAGTCCTGTAGTATTTCTGAAAAAAAAGTTTACATCGCTCATTATTAGTCATTAATATTTGCTGTTATAATTTTGGTCATTTTTAATGTTCCTGTGAATTACCCAACCCAAACACCAGAAATCTTCTGAATGAAGGTTACTGCTGTGATTTTGTTGAGGGATGTTGGAGACACTGATGTAGAGCAAGGTCATGACAAAGTCCTTTACTCTTGCAGGGAGTAGCGTGGACAATAAAGCACCTGCCTGTGCTGTGTTCCCTGTAGCAAAGCAGAGCTGCAGCTTTATCCTGACCTTGCTGATCAGGAGGGTGTAGCCTCCCTTCTTCCCATCAGTGTACCTGTTGGAGCAGTTAAATAAACCTGTTGGGAGGCATATGGTGTAGAGAAATGTCACAGGTTACTTTCTTATGGTCGTGGGGAGACCTGGGAGGACATGGGTGAATCAGTTCCTGAGTCACCAAATCCCTGTTTTGATGGGGAACTGTTTAAATCTACTAATGCTACTACAGACAGCTTCAGACACATGGCTTTCTTGCTTACCTATTTCTCATGGAGTTCATGTTGATCTCTTTTGGCTTTGAGATTTAATTGGGCTCTGAATCACAGAAACAAAGGTCTGTTTCCTTGCCTGAAATGCATCTGAAGGGAGCAGGGGTTGTAAGCACTGAAACGTGATTAGATAATAATGCCTATAAAACTTCACATCAGAAGTATGGTGAGTTATTTCATAGTAAGGCATGCTTTTTCTTTTCCCCCCAGTAGATGATAAAGAAGTCTTTGAATTATAAAACCTGAAGCAGTAATAGCTTATTTACAAATCACTAGATTTGTTAACTTAGGATGTACCACATCAGTTTGGGATTGGGGACTTGATGTTTGGAAACTGATTCTTAAAGTAGTGGTAAAGGCTGTGAGTTCAGGCACACTTTTGCAAATGTGTAGTCGTGTTTTTTTCTAAACCTACTTTGAAAATAATCTCACTGAAATCACATTTTTTTTGTCATGGTGGCTTCTCTTAAAATATGGACAGGCCAAAGATCTACTAAGGAAATGCGTTTGCAGTTCTGCTACAGTGGTGGTGACTTCCCATTAAATGAAGAAGTTGCCTGGGGAGGGGCAGTCCTTGAGTAGTAAGAACTGATCTGTGCTGGCATGTTCTAGCATTCCTAGAGTAGTTTTTGATATGCAAATAGCACTGTGAAATAATTCTTTCTCCTTTAAACAATGAGAGTTTGAGTTTCAGAGTTTAATGGAACAGGCTTTTACATTGCTGTTTCATTTTCATTTTTACTTGTAACTAAAGAACGTTTTCTCTCAATGAGTGAGGTAGACACTGTGTTAACCACATGAATCACTCTGCAGCTAAATTATTAGAAAGAAGAAGCAATTTTAATTGATGTAGAAATAACAGCTGCTGTAAGTAGCAGTTAACAATCTTGACAAACAGCAAATAATAGAAAAAACTTGCAATGTGTGCAGAGCTCTATATAAAAACCTTTGGTCTGATCCAATTTTAAAAAATTCATCAGTAAAAAGATGCATGTTTTTGAGATAATTCCTTTGTCCTTATCTGTCACTGTTGCTGAAGTTTAAATTTTCTTTGTATTTAAATTTCTGTTTACTTCCTGAGACCCCAGCTGCCAAACAGAAGATGGGCGAATGAGGTAGATGAAAGAATGTAAATGAAACTGTTGCCAATTACCATTCTAAGTAAAAGTATTCGTGGGTAGTATCTGAGTAGAACTGGTGGTTACTCATCTGAGGAGTCTTCCATTTCATCTGAGCTAAAGCACTGCTTTGGATGGGCAGGCCTATGGTGTAAGACTGGCTTGTCACTGGAGTTCCCTGGTTTGTGCTGGTTTTCTTCTGTTTCTTCAATTCTAATCTGTCTGAATGGGGCCAGCTGAGGGGCACCTTGTGCTTATTGGGGGGGATGAGGCTGAACAGGACACTTGTGCTGTTTTAGGCTTTCTGGGTGTATGATGTGGGGTTTTTTGCTCTCTTCTTTGGTGCTGTGTAACCAGAGGTAAGTTACTATGCACTTCCCAGGTAACAGGAAACTTTTGTTACTTAAAATATGAGTAATAAGCAAGTGACTTATATAACTTATTTGGAATAGGTTGTGTTCCGTGCTCAGAAAAATTATCCTCAATGTCAAACCCATATACTTTGGTCTGATTATTACTTTCTGAAGAAAATGTAGAAATAAGAACATCATTAAAGTTGTCTCTTCAGTGTTGGGTTTCAGTGGGAAGGTGCTGCAGGGCAGCTGCTTCCCAACCTCCTGGGAGTGGCAACAAACCCCTCAGGTTTGGTGTGGGTTTATAGCCCAGCTCATCTGTGGGGTTGTGGCTGAGTTGAAATCACTGGGGCTGCTGTGGGCAAACACAGCCACATTTCAAATATGAGGGGTTATGTGACCAAGAACTCTGCATACAGAATCTGTTTGTTTTGCTCAGACTTACCTAGGTGTTTTAGAACAAATTTTTGAAGAAATGTTTAGTCTGTCCTTTCTGTCCTTGGTGTTTGGGACTGAGAAGCAAGTTTGTAACTTACTTGGCAGGGCAAGGTGGAAAGTATTGCAGAAGAATAGAAAAAAAGATACAGTAAGTCAGAAGAGAAAGCTACCAAACATTCGCTTATAAGTTTGCATTTAACATTTTTCGTATCTATGTGGTGTTGTTAATGTTTATAATTTCCAGTTGGTGACTGTAGAACTGCACTTTTTGTAGCTGAAGTGAGTGACATCGAGGACAATCTTGACAGGGTGCTGGGCAGTTACACGTGTACAGCATCCCTGTCCCTACTGCTGGGAGTCTGATGGCATTAATTAAACTGATTGATTCTATATTTCTAAGGATTTATTTATTTTTAAATCTATACCTATGCCTTTCAAATGTACATTAAGAAAATGACAGACCTAAAGAAACATAGTGTGCGATGTCAGAGCATTTTCTTCTAAGGAAATCATGCAAGAATAAAGAAGGTTTGTCAAAGATCCCTCTCAAATACGTCTTAAACGTCTCTCACACTGAAACCCTTTAAATCTGAAAAGGCTTTAACAGTAAGTTGTTGCA